GGCACATAACAACAACAACAACAACATATATTTGTATAACAGCATTAGTTGACCTTTTTTTAAATTAACTAAGTGCTTCTTGATGTCTGAAAATCTTGGAAATAAACACAGTGAGGATTTAAGTGGATAAAATATAAAGCCTTCTCTTCAGACTTCTGGTATATATGTGGTAAATATTTGTTTAAAATGGTTTCATTGACGTTGGGCAGCAGTTACATTATTTTCTTCATGGCAGCTTTCCAAAATAATTTGAAATAACAGCACGAGGTTTTCAAGGCTCTTTTCTTGTCTGGTAACTTTATACTCTATTGATTCTTCAATTTTTGAGACTCCTATTGTTTGTTGGGCGCTGTGGAGTCAGTTCCAACTCATTGACTCCATGGGACAGAGTAGAACTGTCCCATAGGGTTTTCTAGGTTGTAATCTTTCTGGGAGCAGATCACCTGGACTCTCTCCTTTGGAGCCAATTGGTGGGCTCAGATCACCAACCTTTCAGTTAGCTGCCGAGCGCTTAACTATAGCACCACCAGAGCTCCTTTCTGAACTCTTAATGCATCTATTCTATACTGTGGTGAAATACTCTGGTAGTGCAGTGCCTAAGGCATTTGACTGCTAACCAGAAGGTTGGCGGTGCAAACACACCAGCCACTCCATGAGAGGAAGACCAGGCAATCTACTTCTGTAAAGATTTACTGCCTTGGGAACCCAATCATTTTTTCTTTCTATATTCCCAATTCATCATGAAGCAATACTTTTATAAAATAGAATAAAAATGAATTTCTAGAAAAATGAAATGAAGACAAAATGCAAGCACAATTTTTAAATAATTAGATTAACATATATAAAATTATATTGTCAAATTGCTGTCAATATTTCTAAGCCCTTACTCCCCATTTTATGCACTTATTTGTACGAACAGTTCACAAACCACCACAGATTCATAAGCTATACTTTGACAGTGATTTATATACATAAATTATACTTACTCTACATACTTACTCATACTTTGTTCAGTGATTGTTTTACATGTATAAATCTGTTCTCCCTAGTAAGAGGGTAAGTATCATGAGGGCAAAAACAGTTTCACATACATGCTTTGCAAAACTAATACAGCTTGTTAAACTCCTATTAACAAACTCTCTTGAAATAGACCATATTATAACTTTCTTTTTTAAAATGAGAGTCCTTGTCATGTGTAATATTCAGGGGTTAGATGAGGCACCCTCTATAGGAGTCCTTCTAACTTTAACAGTATGTTTTTATAGTTCAGTAGCTTCAAGATATTCTCCTTTAGACAATTAGCATGCATGAAACTTCTAAACCATGGTGCACTGCCCAAGGATGCAGAGAAAGTCTGTGTGAGAAGTTCCTTGTAGATGGCAAAATTATATTTGAATGGATTTTAGGACTCTCTGAAATCTGGACTCACCAAATGTATTCCAAGTTTCTTCCTCTTTCCCAAATAGGTCTGGAAGCCAAGGGAATAAAGCATTTCAAGGAGACAGTGAGCAACTGTGTTAAGTAAACTGCTCATAGTTCATGTAAGATATGACTGAGAATGTATCATTAGATTGTATCATAAGGTGGAGGTCATTAATGATTTTGATAAGAGCAATTTCAGTAGAATGAAGTCAGTGAAAACACTACTAGAGTGGGCTCCAGAGAGAGTAAAGACAGAAACCAAAGCCATTGCCATTGAGTTGATTCCAACTCATGGTAACCTCATATGTTATAGTAGAACTGAACTCCCGAGGTTTTTTTTTTTTTTT